CGAATATACTCTATCTCTTTAGCAGAAAAAAAGGCAATTTCCATAAAATCCGTTCCCTGGTCATGAGTATTCATCATCTCAATACCTATCTGAAGTCAATAAAAATATTTTCCACAAATGTTATATGGTAAGTGAATAGCGATTAAAAGTTCCCGTTCGGACGTTCCCAAAATGGAACTCGTATCGAATATGACTGATGATTTTTGCTAAATTCTGCGAATCTGTTAACGGTACAAAAAAATGATGTATGAATGGTTGTTAGAATAATAAGCAGCCATAACCATTGCATCAACTTAAACTTCCTAACGATGTTTAGTAGCTGCCAAAAACTGTTCGAAGTTGTTCGGACGTTCCGATTTTTTCCAATTGATAAAATTTTTTGTTTAAGAATTTAAGCACCCTCGTTTCTTAGTGCATATATGGGGTTTTATTGTAAATAAATCTGCATCTATATGAAGGCCTTAGTTAAAGTTCGTTGAAGTAATGTCTTCGTACAAGCAGACGTACATATCGACGCCTCCAAACCATACTATGCCAAGTCTAAGCATAGTATGGTTTGGAGGCGTCGATATGTACTAAAAATTAAAAAAAAATAAATAAATCAATAAAAAATTTTTGAACAGAGACTTTTGATGCTGTTTTTTTAACTTTTTTCAAAGATTGGTATAAGAAAAACTTTAATAACTGAACCTAAACTCTTCCGATTTAGACTTGTGAGGTACCATTGGAAAGATATTTTCTCGCCCTTTTTATTTCTTAGCTAATAAGCTCATTCAAAGGATGAAAGAGAAGGGTAGAACGAACGAACATCATTCAGAGTTGAATTGATACAGTATCGGTCATATCTATAGCACGCCATTTCAAAGTGATATTGTGTGCCACTTATGTTTATTTATTAATTTTTAAGAATTTTCAATTAAAATATAGTTCATTCTCAGACAAACCCGATACAAACCCAAACTTAATAATTTGTAGAACGCTACAAAAAAGTGCAACAAATCTTCACATAAATTTCAAACTTTTTTCTCGGAAGTGTTAGAATTTTTTTGAGTACACAGTTTTTTAGCCCCTTCAATTTTAGTCTGATAATGTGCAAATTTGAAGTGGCTACGAATTACCGTTTATTTTTTAGAATTTTTTTTGTCGCATTGGCTTCCATATAATGAATAAACTCAATTTATTTGTATATGGAAGAAATCCGCAACACCTTTGGCGAAAAAAATTCTAAAAAATCAACGGTAACTTTTAGCCACTTGAAACTTGCACATTATCAGACTAAAATTGAAGGGGCTAAAAAACTGTGTACTCAGAAAAATTCTTACACTTCCGAGAAAAAAGTTTGAAATTTAGGTGAAAATTTGTTGCACTTTTTTGTAGTTTTCTACAAATTGTTACACTTGGGTTTATATGGGGTTTGTTGGAGAATGAACTGTATTTTAATTGAAAATTCTTAAAAATAAATAAATAAACATAAGTGGCACACAATATCACTTTGAAATGGCGTGCTATAGATATGACCGATACTGTATGTGTTGGTATTTGAAAAAAAAAAAAAAAAAATTGGAACACGAATGAATTTTTTTGCACATAAATAAAATTAGTGGAAAAATACCTTTCTACCGAGATCCCATAAGTTAAATCAAAATAGTTTTGGCCCAGTTATTTAAGTTTATTGTAAGTCAATCGTTGAAAAATGTAAATAACAGTATCAAAAATCTCATTATTACGATTCCATTGAAAATATTTTTAAATATTTTTATGCAGATTTTTTAAGCCAAATCTGTTTAGTCGTCTGAGGGGACTTTTTCTTTAAGAACAGCAGATTGTGACATTTCATGCTGCTATACCTCATGCTTAAATAATAATTTTTTCTCAAAAAAAAAAGAAAACTACAAAATAAAAAGAAATTTTTATTTTTAATATTTATGCGTTGTAAAAAGTCAAGAAAATTTGTCATATTTTCAATATTTGCAAAACGACTAATTCTGCAAGTCACCCGTAAAATTAAGGACCGGTAAATAAATTGCTCTTGTGGTACAATACTGTGCGTTATTTTGCTATTTCGTAGAGCATCTTATGAACGAACGAATTATTCAATTAACGCGCTCAGTTTGACTGCTAGGTAATGTTTTATATTTAAATTTTTATTGAAGTGTTAAACACAGTTGATTACAATTAAGTGGTTACATTAATTACTGAACATGATTATGATACTCAAAAAGCCAGTTTTAGGCGTTTGAGCAGCACAAATAGATATTTAAATTTGAATAAAACCCTGAATTTTTGAAGTTTTTTGGAATCGACGAAATCAAGCAATTCTTCATCGCATATCGAATTCGGATAATTTAAAACACTTAACCCTCTCAGCCATTTTCCACCTATTAAAAATATAAACAACCACTTAGCCTAGTGTAAAATAACGATGAAGAACTGGAAGATCCATACAACAAAAATACACTGTTAGCTCAGCGGTTAGCGTTACTGACTTTGCGCATCGATGATGCGGTTTCGTCTCCTGCTGATTCTAGAAAAAGATGTCTGATGAGTAGAAGCTATATCTTCTACCGCTAAGACTTTGTTAAAGTAAATCTTAAAATAATACAAAAAAAAATATGTACAACCACTATGCGCACACTTACCTCCGCCTCTTTCTTTTGAACAATTCTGTAGAGCTGGATACTTTATTTTGCATCGAAATCCCACACAGAATGAATACTGAATTATCCTGTTGTAATATATATTTTATATATTAACTAGTAAATTTTACGATTAAAGGTATCACATTCGAAAGCTTTTTTCCATTGATTGCTTGAATGCTGGTTGCTTTGGTGGTATGGCAGTATTTCGTTGAAGAAAGTTAAAAACCAGTTGGACAAGTAAGACATGTACACATATGTATGTAAGTATGTTTACTCCAATGAACAAAGTTGCGCGAGCCTTGGACACAACAAAAAACATAATAAAATTAATTCAAGAAGCGTTCGACAGGTTTCATTAACCGTTATTAAGATGTAACAAAACGTTAATTCATTTACGAAACTCACATTAGGTCGATTTCTATAGAAATGAATATGTTGATATGACCAATTTGTGAACAATAGCTTCTCCGGCAGTACATTCTACTTATATGCCCATAGTAAGTTGCTTGGGTTGCACATTAAATACGAAAATTTGCGTCGTTCTTAAACTTTAGGCACCATTCTTGATGCCGACGTGAGCCACTCTTTTCTGAACTGATACATGATTCAAGATGCGAGAACAGAAGCGTAGCCGTTTTCATTTAAGTCAACAAAGGCTTGGTTTATTTAAGATATTAACATAGGCCCTTTACAACCCACACTGTCTATTTTATTTTGTCACCTTTTAAAATTTGTATACACATAGGTATCGGGCCGTATGAATATTTTTATTCACAATCGTTTTTTTTAAAGTAGGTGAAAAACAAAAATTTCGCTGGAAAATGGGCCAATCGTCAAACCAGCGCGAAATGAACAGGCGAAAACACATCCAATAAGAATCAAATAAAGCGACAAACTGAAGAATAGTGATGGAGAACTATCGATAGTACGATGGTTTCATGTCGCCTCTACTATCGATTTTTTCTAAACACTATCGATTATTGTACATTGCAGGGTTACCACTGAAACTTTCTTTCCTACTAAATGGAAAAATACAAATTTTTGGCATTTTTTGACATCTATAATGGAAGAACAGGATCTGAAAAAAGTGTAAAAAATGCAACACTACTTATTTAGCACAAAATTAAAAATTTTGCAATATGTACTGTTTTTATATTATAACGACTCATTATATGCTAATAATTCGCTGTTTGACACCTTAAAGTCAAAATGTCTCCAAAACTAGACTAATAACCCTACCGAAAATGAAAAAGAAATTTTAAGCAAAAAATTCAATACAAAAACTTTAAGGGCCGGTTGCTCAATGTCTGGTTATCACTACTTGCCGGTTAAACATCATTATCGACGTTTTCGACATCATTCATATAACGTCATCGATAAAGCATTCGTTCTGTTAAACTGGAGCTTCTACCTCCGATTAGTTCTGATTAGCACAAATCCGAGGTAGAAGCTCCGATTAAGTACAACGACTGCTTTATCGATCACATGTTACATGCATGATGTCGAATTCGTCGATAGTGTAGTGGTAATGATAACCAGAGATTGAACAAGCGGCCCTAATTGTTTTAGGGCCGGTTGTTCAATGTCTGATTAGCACAAATCGGAGGTAGAAGCTCCGGTTAAGCACAACTACTGCTTTATCGATCACATGTTACATGCATGATGTCGAAATCGTCGATAGTGTAGTGGTAGTGATAACCAGACATTGAACGACCGGGCCTTAGATTCTTACGCTGCGTTTACATAGGACAATTTGAGACAAGACAATTGATAATATGCATTAGTTGTCAAAGTGTTGTGTTAAGTAGGCGCCCAGACAATTATAAAGACAATAGACTTTTCAGCAACCACCGTTAGTGTCGTTTGGCGTGAATCTCATTATTTACTCAAATATCTAAGCACAAACAACATTTTCATAATTCTGCGATTATGTATTACCTTTTCTTCGTAAGCGAAATTGGAATCGAGTTGATGATATCGCACAAACGATCAAACAATTTTTGGTTTTCCGTGAAGCAAGACAATCTCAACACGATATCGTCCAGACGATTGTAGTCATACGTGATTCATGCCCAGGTATTGAACGAAGGGCCTACGGAGTGGTAGTACGCACCTCTAACCACTCAGCCGCCTATTCTCCTTGTGGGCAACGCAAAACCCATATAAACTTTTTTTTTTTTGTAGGTCTAATGAACAATCAACCCTACTAACTGCTCCTTATACTGCATTACCGACACTGTACTTGTTTGTGATTTTATAACGCGTAGTTGTCGTTTCCGAATTTTCGTGAACGATATATTAATTTTTGTATATGTGTTACCCTGTAACGCACACCTGACATTTCCCAATTTCATTATCATCTTTTATCCAATCCAAAGTAGTAACTAATTTTTGACACTTTTATTTCCTTATCTTACCGTTCACGGAAAAATATTTTGGGCTTGTAAACGAAAGTGGATTTTTATGCTTAAAAAAATCATCATACCATTGATACCGTTAAAAAATTGTTAAGTTGTAATTAAAAAAGTACATTCACAAATTGGTTGAAGTATGTATATAATTGTGTAAAAAGTTGGTATGCTTGCCGTGGAGTTGGCAACCAAATTATATTCATACTCTTCGAGAATACGTATTGCCAAAGCTTCCTCAAAATAGAAAGGTAATGTATGTACATATATAATTCTGGACGAATATCTAAATCGCACAAGCGTGGTAATGCATATGCAATTGATAACAATGTGTAATAAAAAGTATCAATGACGCGCAAGGAGAACTGCAGCGGAAACTTTACCTATCTACATAATTACATATTTGTATAAATGTTTGTCTGCGAAGGGTGGTTTCCCCAACCTTGATAGTTGCTAACAGCAACATAGACAACGAGAATATTTAATAGCAGTGGCGAAAATCGCATACTACAACGGTATAGGCAAGGCGGGAGCGCAGTGGCCTGGCTTAGGTGATAAGAAAAATATGTATGTGAATGAACTCTCGTGAATACACAAAAAAAAAGTAATAAATTTAGCTGAAGTAGGACAATATTACTTATGCAAATAACCATAGATACAGTGCCGGTAAAAAAATAGCACTAGTGCTATGAACTTTTCATTCTGATTTGAAAAATCTGGATGCATCATAATTTTCAGGCTTAGGTAATAAAATTCTCTTCAAAAGTGCCTCGTTTTCCTTGAAATAATATTGTTGTCCCAACTTCAAGTAATTTGTTCAGTGGTAGTCGATTTCAAGTGGTAAAAGTAATAGCACTAGCTGCTCGTTTCGGTTTCTTTCCTTTATTGAAATTTTTTGTGAATAAAGATAAATATAGTTTATTTAATACATCTGTTGTGTAAAAAGTTGAATTTTGTAAAATGTTTGAATGGCTATGGGACGTGGAAAACATTGCAGCACCGAAAATGTTAAATTATAAAAAAAAACCGACTTTCTCAAGGCAAAACTTATGGCGGAAGTGGGTCGTACAGTTGACTATTCCAACAAAATGATTCGAAACGCATTAAAATTTGTTCCAAAACCAGAAACACTTAGGGCTGGTTTCTCCAACTCAACTTAACTTAGTTTAGCCACTTTTTGGACTTAAGTCAAAAGTTAGCCTACGTTTTGCACGGCTTATTCATGACTAAGTCAAGGAAATTGGCTTAACTAAGTTAAGTTGAGATGGAGAAACCAGCCCTTAGACTCAAACGCGCACGGTCACCCTTACTCGCCAGACGGCTTATTCGGCAAAGCCAAAAATGCCCTTTTAAGCCAGAAATTGTACATACATACATACACATTTATCAACACCTTGTTTTCTCCAAGTTTGATGCATCTTTTATAATTTCATATTACTTTTGTACTTTGATCAATTTATAAAGATAAATCACAGTTTCCGAAACAATTGTTAACGCAAACGGCAACACAATATTAGCATACGCACATTCTCGGATGGTCTGAGCTTACCAATTACATATATCCCCCATAAGGATGGCTGGTGGCGCTGCTTCTATATCACATTGTGGCCCTGAAAACCGTCCTAACTCTACATGTGCGGTTTGTGCCTCAACCACATATTCACGAAATGCCAATAGTGATAATTTTATGCAAATCATTCATTCTGAGGCACTGATGAAGGGTCTCAATGCGTTGCGTTGTGCAGAAAAGCTATTTGATGTTACCCTGCACGTTGAAGAACGAACATTCAAGGTGAGTACAATGCGGCCTTTAAACATCAACAAGGTACATGATAAGTAACCGTACAAAATAATTTCTGTTCTAGGCACATAAGGTTGTTTTGGCTGCGTGCAGTGATTACTTCTGCGCTATGTTCACTGACGCTATGCGTGAAGCACACCAGTCTGAAATAAAATTAAATGGCATAAATGCGCATGGTCTAGAGTTGCTGTTAGAATATGTATATACTTCAAAACTGGAGCTAGATCGTAATAATGTGCAAGATGTTTTGTCTGTGTCGACACATGTCCAGATGAAGGCCGCTATTGACGCCTGTTCACATTTTCTTGAGTCACAAATTGACTTGGACAACTGCGTTGCGATTGCTGCTCTCGCCGACTTGTACTCACTAGAACCGTTGAAAAAGAAAGCTTATCGGTACATGTGTTCACGCCTCGATGAATTTTCGCAGACTCCCGATTTACTTAGCCTCACATTAGACCAATTCGAGCATGTACTCGCATGTAATTATCCTGTGGATTGCTCGGAACAGAGAGTGCTTGAAATGGTTTTGGAATACTGTTTGGAGTCTGATCTAAAACCGGAATTGGCGCGACGTCTTTTCGGAAAAGTACAGTACCATCAAATTAGTGCATGTGCTCTAGATGTCATGAAGACCAAATGGAATACAAAACTTAAGTCCGGCATTGATTCAATTTTCTTGGCCTACTTTCGGGTGTTAAATGAAGAAATGTTAAAACAGGAGGTTGGAAAGTTGCATTTATCTGACACCTATGTCGATGACTTACTCTCGACGGACGTGTTAACGAATACGCGAGGAATGGAACTCGCCCTGGTTAAAATAGGTGGCTTTGAGACAAATGGCCTAACTAATCGGATAAGCTGTTTTCTACCTTCCAAAGGCAAATGGGAGAGTCTTACCGTTATACCGCACATCGAACAATGTACGTAAGCGTAAAAATTGTATCTGTTGTGTAGGGTATATAAGATATAACTTTTTATAGATTATTAATATTTGTGGTATTAAATTATTAAAAACAAATTCGTGCTTAGAATTTGGAATTTACTCGAAAACTCCTCGAAGTTTTGAATATTTAATTTAATATGCAAGTGCTTTTTTCTAAAAGGTAAAATCAAGTTATCATTTATATAAGTGACACCACAGATATACATAACGGGTGATTTTTTTGAGGTTAGGATTTTCATGCATTAGTATTTGACAGATCACGTGGGATTTCAGACATGGTGTCAAAGAGAAAGATGCTCAGTATGCTTTGACATTTCATCATGAATAGACTTACTAACGAGCAACGCTTGCAAATCATTGAATTTTATTACCAAAATCAGTGTTCGGTTCGAAATGTGTTTCGC